TGACCCCCCCGCTCCGCGCTAAAACCGGCAGCTGTGTGTGCCCTGGGGGGGGGGGGGGGTTTGTTCCGGAACACAAAGCAGCACAGAGCCGACGTCACCCGGGTGCACACTCGAAAACAAGGTAAAAATAAAACCGGGAGGTGGGGAAGCTATAAATCCGGACCCACTTTAGCTCCGTATCCTGAACCCACACGTGAAACCCCATCCATATACAGTACAGTATATGCCTCAGGAAGTATAAAGCGTTGCCAATATTCATTTCGAGGTAAACTTTTATGGAAACGAAATTGCTGACTTGAAATACTGTATTAATGAGATCATCAAACATTTTCTAGGTGGAATAACATTCTGTCATACTCTTGATTTAAAGGTCCACGACATACTTCGATTGATGAACAATATCAATTTTTTAGAGGATGAATTTCTCAATGCACATCATGAAGTAGTCAATTTTTGGATTTTATTTTTTTTACAAGATTCTGTGCAATGTTCGCACTTGTAAAAATCTTTTTCAAATAAGAAGGAATTTTTCCTTTGCGTTTAGGCCTTCAGGATTTCAAAGCCTAATCAAAAGGAAACAAATTCTGCTTAAATTGTAGAAAAAAAGCATGGTTGAATCACGCTTAGCGTTTGATGTACAGTATTGAATGTCTATTTTTTTTCTGTAAAAAAAAAGAGTAAGCAGCTCCACAGACAGAAATGAGGATTGGCAACCTTGGATCCACGACGGCAACAATAAAGTCCACGCGCATTTCCCAGTAATTGTGCCGGATTTCCGATCCCTGCCTATTTGCTGGTCTTTCTGGATCCCGAAAAACTTTTTCCCCCCGCTGCAGGACTTCCCGTTATTCTTCACTTGTTTCCCTCATACTGTAGTGTAGTGTATATAGTGGATCCATAGAAATTCGGGAAGAGGAAACAAAGGAATTCACGCGCCCCAAATGGCCGCGAATCGAGCGGGATTTCAGTGAGCTTCATGGTGCAGATTACTTTTATTTATTTTATTTTATTTTATTTTGTTTGCACGCAGCCAGGTGTTCGCGCCTGTACATATATATCCGAGGATGGATTGAAAATTCAAGTTGCATTTGTCAAGTTTTTTTGTGTGTGTGTGTGTGTGTGGCTGAATTCGCTGTTCCCGTTCAAAGTTAATGCTCTTCGTCTGATGGGTTCAGAAGGTCGGCGGCACTCCTTCCTGAATTTGTGTGTGTGTGTCAAAATCATCATTTGGCCATGATTGCGAAGGATTATCGGAATTTCAGATTTACTCACTGTAATAATTTGAAAATTTTGTCATCTGCCTTCGAAATGATGTTGATTGAAGAAGTCGACGAGAAGAATGAAACAGGTTCCTTCACGAACTCACAACCGGGACATTCAACATGATACATTTCGATAAAAAACCAAGACCATCCATGTTCTTATCTTTTTCCTAATAAAAAAGGAAAGTACAGCTGTTCCCATAAAATAGATTCAATGAAAAGCTATGCTGAAATATTCACCACAAAATCTTAGAATGATTGCAATGAAATTGTCTTATAATCGCCCTCATTTTTTTTTTTAAAGCTGTCATATTTTTTGGGATATGGTATGCAATGGATTGAAACCCGTCGTTTCGCCTGTTTTTTTTCTCTCTCTCTCTCTTCCGAATAGTCGAATGAATTAATGTGAAATATAATCGCTCTCGCTGAGATCATGCAATGTTTATTTGTAAGAATAAAAGTCTCTGGCTGCGGTTAGTCAGCAAATCATGATGAGACAATGCTTGCATTGCAAAATAAATACAGAAATAAAGAAATACGACTAGAAAAAAAAAGCGCGCCACGGGGATAATCGAGGAGAAAAGAAAAAGCCAGGCAGCAGCTGATGTAAGGAACACCTGGCTGAGATTGTTGCTGCTGACTGCATAATAATGGCATAACATACCAGGACCCCCCCCCCCTCCCCTCCCTTCCTATATATGCCTTTGCTGAATGGCTTTCGTGTCAAAATCATGATGCCCATTGCTGATGCCGGCAGGAGGCTGGTCGAATGCTGTGCAAATCCTCTGCGCTGAGCTGCCTTACGTACATCTTGCCAATAATGAATCTCATTATTTGCCGGCACCAAAATTAAAAAAATTACTTTACCTGTTTTAATTTCAATACTTTATTTTTTATTGTCCAGGTTTTTTTTAATCAAATGTTGTAATGCTCAGATATTTGTGCTTTTGATGCACAACAATCGATGCGAAATTCAAGCAATGTTCGTGTCCAACATTGATTGAGCACCGAAAAAAAAACCCGGGATGCCTGGATTATTTTTGGCTTTAAATGAAGCACCTTCCTGCTATATATCCCTGGTTTTGAGCAAGGTGAGAAACATCTGCGCCTGCAATCAATTCTCCTCGGTTGGTCCAAGGGGGCGTACAACAAGTTTCTGTCCATTCGAAAAGCCAGATTCGACTTTCAAATTTAATTTCAAGTCTATTTGTTGAAACAATATTGCCGGAATCTGTTGAAATTGACTTTGAATGTGGCGCATGGAATCACTTGATGCAAAAGAAAAGTATTCCCAAATTTTTACAAAATTATTGCAGATTTGAAGTGCTTATGGAAAGATATCCATCGAGATTCAAAAAGCACCAGCAGAATTCTTATATAGGTAGTACAGTATTGCAGCGCGTATAGTTGCAGTTGCATTTTATCATGAAAGACATTGCATGGCCTTTAGAAGGAAAAAAAAAACAGGACCATTCGTCCCATTTGGATGATCACATAAGACTCTTACTTTTCCGACAGGTTTCGGTAAAAATAAAAAAATAAAAAGTGACACACACGCAACACAGTCAGCAAATAAATTCACCAAAAAGTGCTTGATAAAACGTTTTTCAAAGACAATAAAAATACTTTGAATCCCATTTCATGTAGCACAAATGATTCTTTGTTGTCAAACAAAACTATCCACATAATTCCACAGAACTCTCTCAAATGTGCCAAATGTTGCTACTTTAATTTTTGATTTCACAACCACATGAGAGAACAGGAGCAGATGAAATAACCAGAGGGGTGTGCTTCACTGTCATTTCAACTTCCCATTATTGATACCCTTTTCAACCTAAAACAATTGATCGTTCATTTTAGAAAATGAGAACCTACTTTCAAAGTACAGTAATTTCTAGGACACCTTGTATTTTTTATTTTTATTTTTTTGTGCTGGCAGTGAGTCATTCATCGGCCAATCATCCATCGCAGCGGAAAAATGTACTGTAGTGTTACAACGAAACGAGCAGATACAGTAAAACAAAACAAATAATGCCGACCAATTCCAAAACTAAAAGCCCTTTTTCTAAATGAACGGAAAGTTACCTTGGGTCAGCGCATGAACCCTGATGTCCTGGCTAATGAATTGACGCGGCGAATACGTGTCCGGCAGTACGTCGGGATATGTTGATCCTTCCTTGATAATGAAACCCCAGCAGGCCGGCAGCTAGGACATCCGCGAGGAAGTGCGAGGAAGTGCGGAAAAGGGGGTTCCGGAGGGGGTTTCACGCGAGGGGGGAACGGAAGCAGAATAGTAGGTCGTGGACCGTAACCCCGGATGACACCGAGTGAGCGTCGACGACCGAGGAGGGGGCGAACCACGTACCCCCCGACGAATGGCGCGTGCGCAACACGCACCTGGCCAACAACCAACAATACGAAACGCGTCTCTCTCTAAAGTTCTCGTACAGTATGAGAAATCATCTCGATGAGATGATATCCTTTCGATGGACACGATGCGACTTATTTGGAGATTCCCTGGCTCAAACTTTCTTCTTCTTATTTTTTTTTTTTTTTTTTTTGCAACCGCAAGATGTTTGTCATCTTTCGTCGATCGATTATAAAGAAAAACAGCAATGAGAATTCATTCGAATTACAGTGATTATGAGATTACTTTTTGTACTATAAATAGCTGGAAACAAGCTGTTCTTTGTGTGCAACCCACCGGCCGCTATGGCTTTAGTGTAGAAAAGGTGTCGAAGTGGTGCAGACGAGAGGCGAGGCGCGGGGCTTTTGCTGGTATAAGGGGGGGGGGTGCATGATGTGTTAAAAAATCAGGCTTTTTTTTTTTTTTTTGTTTGCCGACCAGGATTATTTTCAAGAGGGACATTATGATCTCCTGACGGCAGCTGCTGCTTTTTCACCCACGTGTTTCAATTTTTACCTCTGGCGATGTAAATTTCGAGAGATCAATATCAACTATATATCTCGAATGTTTACCACATCGCTGTTTTCTCTCTCTTTTTTTCTGAACGATGGGGTTGGAACCTGTGAAGCATGGCTTTTAATTCCTTACATAAAAAAAAACACAGAGAAAAGATCTCGCATGTCAATTTTTCATAATTCGCAGTAGTGTCATACAGTAATACTGTAACATGCACAAAAAAGTTATATTTCGTAGATTATAACGACTTCATGTAAAATCGTAAAGTGGGCAATTATAGCTCTGGTTGTCGAAAGTTGTAACGTGACAAACTCATTTTGTCTCTCTGATCAAGTTTCCAAGCACGTCCTTATACTTGCCTAGATGTCACTGGCCGTCACTGACGGTGAGTCACTTGAAATTCAACAGCAGGAAAGTCAGAAGAAATCATATTTTGCTCTGCATTTTTTTCCGTGAGTAATATGCGCGAGGATGAATAATAATCAAGTGGTACGCGAGGATGATTGACTGAATTAAAATTTAATTTTTGATGAGTAATAATGAAGACCATGATTTTCTTACACTATAGGGTTGTATACAGTACATTGAGCAGTTATATATTTCAAAACATAGAAGAGAAAATCTTGGCTGAATCACATGCAGCTGGGAACGCGATGATGAATGTCGATGTTGCCGTTTAGTTTAATATGTATTCCACAAATTCATTCGTTTTGAGTCTCATGATTGAGAAGCCAGCGCCAGATGTCGCACCCCCCGCATCAGTCGGGCATATAACTCGACACCACATCACTTGATTCTCTCAGCATCCTCGATCGGAGACCCCCAATAAGCAGCCAGCACCCTAGCTCCTCTCACCTTGTTGAGGCCTTTTGTGCAGCGTGAGCATTTCCAAGAGCACTGGCTTGAAAAGCAAGACAGCAGTAGGTCAGGAGAAGAAGAAGAAAGGAAGTCCAAACGACCCTCATGGTTTCCGAAATAACCAACGACTTTGGCTGGGCTCCAAACCCGTGTCGACATCGTCGACGTTGTCGTCGTCGTCGTCGTCCCTCTCACTCTCCTTGCTGCTGCAGCCGATCCTTTCTTCTCCTCGACGCGGACGAAGATAGAATAAAGAAAAGAAAAAAAAATCCTCGTTCGTTACTCCACCTCTCTTGACGAAGAACAAAAAACATAATTATCCCGGGCCTAAAGAAAGAAGAAAGACGAAGCAGCAATTCGTGGAGGAGTGGCGTTGTTCCTCGTCTCTCTGATGTCGTCCCGCGGTTCGCCGCAGTTCTTGTCGGGATCTCAAATGGCCGCTCCCTTTGGTCCCGAATTTCCCCCAGCATCACCTGCTGCTGTGCTGTCCTTCTTTGTCAACTTTATATGAGCAAATAATCAGCGCGAACATTTTGAACAAGAAACACGGAGCTCTTTTTTTTTAAAGAGATGACGAAGCATTATTGCTGCCTGGAAATTTGCTTCGCTGTTTTGCTCGTTTTCGAGCTTGTGAGTGGGAACGTGCCTCATCATCACGAAGACAGTGTCAAGTTCATCGTTTCTTATCCCATCAAAGTGAGTGCAGTAAATATTCTGTGACACAATATAGATTTCTTTCCGTATTTCATATACATGACAATAAAGAACACATTATAGGAGACGCTGTGTATATTTCAGATAAGGGGTGAATATGATTTGCCCCTGTGCAATTCCACATTTTCGCCCTGCAACATCCTGGAGCTGCGGTTTTGGAGACCGATGTTGATCCAGCGTCAGTGTTTGTGTCCTGCCAGGACGACCTGCCCTTTCAACTGGTCAAACAATGACTCGGATAATTCCACCGTGTGGATCAGCAACAGATCTCAAATGAAGGTGAGGATCCCTTTTTTTTTAAAAATGCACGCATCTGTTTCTGGAGCATTCGTCAGCTAGACATTGAAAACAAATATTGATTAATGCATCAGCATTGCTGGATTTCTTTTTTTTTTTTTAATCTTGTAAGCAGCGATAAATCTTTGTCATTGACTAAAATAAAATGCCAACAGCTACACAGGAGACATCTAGGTATAATGGAATAATTTGTCAAATCATTGGACGTTAGATTTCATCTCACTGCTGATTATAAAAGGGGCTCCATGTAAATTTGAAGTTTTCACATATTTTCTCAATGATTCACTTGGATAATTTATTCGCTACACTGATGAGCAATAATTTCTTTCTTTCCTCTGTTTTGTTATTGTCGTTGGTCTACTCTATACTATATAGTTCTGCGCTCCAGTGAATTTGGAGACTTGTTCAGACTCGCCTTCCGTCGCTGCAGCGGAACTGAGCACCTTTTCAGAAATGGTGTCCCCGAGGGAATATGCGAGACTGGACTCTGACGACACTAGAAAGTCCTTGGCAGTTGTGCACAAGGACACCGTGCTGTTTTGCATTTGCCCTCGGAGGCGCTACTGGAGTCCCCTGGGTGACCCGGTCAAGGAAACCGGGCCCAAGAACGTCGTCGTTGTCAAGCAAAAATTCAGCTGTGCTCTGGTGATTTCCCTTTCTTCATTTCTTTCAAACGACAACAATGATTTTTTGTCACGAAAAAAAAAGTGGTGACGAAGAAATGACAATGAGGGACACACGCGGAAAAAGGAATATCTGAAAAATCAAATGCCAAGCAATTGTGAAGTAATTTACAATACAGTACTGCTTATATTTTTCATATCTTAAAGTCAAGTGCTGAATGTATATTCACATTGGCGAAAGAGTGCACCATTTATTAATTTGTATAGCATTTCTGATCAAGACAATCGACAGCATCTGCTGCTTGAATGGTGAAAGAAATTTACTCTTTAGAAATTTATGAGATATTCAGCAAGCAATTGAGACTTTAAAATATTCCTTCCGGAATTCCGAAAATGAAACTCACAGAATCAGATACGTTCTTTATACTGTCGTTAAATGTAATTGTTTTGTTTTTGTCTACATGTTGATTGCTATTCCATAAAAACACGCAGTGCTTGGAATAATGTGAAAAAGAAAAACGGCAACCTCCATTTAAATGCGATTCAAAAATATCACGGTCGTGATTTTTATTCATTCAGATTTTCTGACGATGAGTACCGGAAGAGAGAGAGAGGGAGAGAAAGCAGAATTAACAACACAGAAAAAGAGGATTTGAACAAGCTGTTCTCAATTAAACAGCGATTAAGGCGGAAAAATTTGGTGTATTATGACAATTCCAGCGCGGCCAAAATTCGTCGATGGCTGCTGCTGGATAAAACATGTCCACTTCGTATACAGTATATTTTTCCCAATAAGGAAAACATGATGACGACGATGAGTCTCATGTACTGTCTATATAGTATTCGCACCTATAAATAAGCTGCTGCATTTTTTGGAATCTCATTCAAATCTGAAGAAAGTAAAGAATTAAAGAAGTGCCGTGGAATACAACAATACAGTAGCGGTGTGAATGATATTTCAGTTGGACTATTGCTACCAAGGGGACTTTTGCGGCCACATCCGGGCTGACCTGTTCTCCACGTACCACCGGTGCTTCTGCCCCCCGGGCCACCTCTGCGTGTTCGACACGGACCGCAACACGACCCACGTGGACGAATTCCACTTCCAGGGACCAGCTCTCAGTGGCCAGTGTTTGCTGGACGACTCGGAAGACCGGAAGTAAAACATCATTACTGTAACTGTATACACAATCAACGACAAGTTGACAATGATGTCTCATCCGTTGCCATTCATTCATTCATTCATTCATTCATTCCTGCATGCACTCGACGATTTCACAAACGAAACAGTATTTCTTACTTGCATTCAGCACGGACTCATTCATAAGTTGACGACGATGATACGAAGCACTGAAATCTTTTACAAAAAGGTCTACTTGATCTGGTGTCTATAAAATGTAGCGAGAAATCAGTCCCTTTCAGTCCAATTATACAGCATTGAATGTTCCGTATACTGTATACAGTCGTCTGAGTATACATTGTGTCACACCGACCGTCATAATACAGGATATAAGTTTACATTTACAACGAGTCAGGGCAAATTAACTACATTTCTGCTTCCATTTGAAATTTTTGTCTATGCATACAATTTCCGTCAGCTGTCCCTTCAATAATTGAAAATTACTTACGATTTAAATGTTCATTTAAATGTTACCCTGCTTAAGATGAGGTATTTATTTTTGGAATTGAGTACTGTATTCCAAAACATTTGTAAAAACCACATGCGGATTCATGTCTCACCCAATCAACTGTGGAATGCCGTCGTTTCCGCTGCTGTAACGTAACTTTGAGACCCTCGGTTCGAGACGAAGTCTTTCAGAATTCATCTGGCGATAAATTTGAATAGAGATAACAACGCACTTATTTGTTTTGGCATCCAAATAGCGACTCTCCTGTTGAAAGAGAAGAAAATAAAGATCGTTCGTTCACGGCAGTTTCGGGGGAAAAAGGGGGGGGGGGGGGGCGAAGACGATGAGGAAATCGATGCTGTTTGAGTGAGAGCCATATTCTCTTCGATCCATGAGTGCCCATCAGCAGTGAACTCAATAATACGGGACATGCATGCAGGAAAACTGCCAAGAAAACTGGCAACATTTTTCCGAGGGGCGAAATGTGCTGCATATCTGTGGTTTCATATTTGTTGCTTGTTTGAGAAAACAGGAATTTTGTCATCCTCTTTTCAAATTATTCTCGTGAGCTGTTTTTTAAAAAATCTTTTGTGATTTGATGGCGCCGCCTTGCGTCTTTGTGTTTTTGGCTAACACGCTGGAAGTCATTCGTCACTGTCCAGTTATATCCCAGAATTTATCGTGAAAAGCGACACGAACGTATGCACAGCTGAAATTCTGTGCGCCAACGCATACGTTTTTCGATAATCTTCTGGGATTTTTTTCTTCTTCGCCGAATCAGGAATAATTCATGCCAAGTTTTTCTTAAGGTTTATTTTCTGTGGAAGATATTTCCAGATTTGAGAGGATCGAAATCCAGCATCAATTTTCACTATTGAAAAGCTCGAAGATCCTCTGCTGTGAGCGTAATGACCGTAAAATGGAAAGAAAAACGATGATTTTGTTTGCTTCTACTTCATTACAAGAAAATTATCTTCTCGAGGGTCACGAAAAAGTGAGTGTCAGAGCTTTGCTCCCACATGATCCATCTCGTAGGTATGAGTTGCTCACAGCATTTACTGAAGTCAGCATGAACTTGGCAAGATATGTCATAGGCTGAACTATTCAAGTACAGTACTGTATAAAATTGCGTCACAGCAACTCTCAAGTTTCACCGGTGTGTACTCTGAATTCGATTATCATCACGAATTAAGTCAAAATAGCAATCAGCTTTTTCCAGGTGTGGTCCATATGTACATGCGTGTATCTTCATAAACAAAGGTGAGTCATCGACCAACTTATAAAAATAAAAAAAAGATACGGGACACCTTCCTGGCGTGACGAAAACTTGTATATGAATTACGCAGAAGATTCGACTAGAGGACGCTCTCACACAGTGAGAAAAAGAGGGGACGTAACAGGTTTCGGAGGATGATCTCAGAGGATCCCGCTTGCATAAGAATTTCTGAAGGAGTCGCCCTTGAAATTTAATTTTCGATCCCTTTGATGAAAAGAAAAAATGTACGCATTACATCTGGACCATCCATAAAACACATGCATTTTCTAAATTGCAAGATGAGGATATATAATTCAATTTGAGAATATTCTTGATGCAGAATATGTTTTTACTCCATTCGCTGAGGCAAAATTACATTTTTCCTTCCGAAAAACGGTAGTTTCCTTTGTGCTGATACTAATTATCAAGGAAATCATATTTCCAACATATTCATGTACATCGAGAAGTGAGTTTCTCAGCACAGACTAGATGCTGAGAGAGGCAATATATATGACTCGTATCGAAATATATGTACACCAAATTGATGCACCGTTTAGGTATGTACATTTAAAGCCTTACATTTTTGAGAAAGATCAAAGGTTTAAGCATCATTTCCGACTTTTTTAAAATTTTGATTTGAATCATTTTCTGTTGCATGAAAATGCAAGTTATCAATGTAAAACACATAACTTAGTCCAAAGAAACGTCGATGAGCAGTTGAGCACAGTAGCACCTGATGGGGTTGAAAAGAAAAAAAAAAGTAAGCAGCAGCAGCAGCAGCAGAAACAACAATAAGGGGCAGAGCTGTGCAATACGGAGGAATCCCTATAGCTCATCATGGAAATTCCCAGTGTAAAGAAAGACCGCGGTGTTCCTGCAAACTCATCGTCAGAGTATTCTGTATACAGTTTGGCACTCTGCAAAGCTGCAGATGAAGGAGGAAAATGAGAGAGAGAGGGAGCGAGAGAAAAAATAAAAGATGGGAAATGGCGGAAGAGAGAGAGAGAGAGAGAGAGAGAGAGAGAGAGAGAGAGAGAGAGAGAGAGAGNGAGAGAGAGAGAGAGAGAGAGAGAGAGAGAGAGAGAGAGAGAGAGTCGTAGAATGCATCCTACTGCAGCAGCAGTATGCAGTATACAGTCGAGGACAGCACCGACCAATAACAAGGAAAGAAATCAACAAGGAAAGAGAAAAACAAAAAAGGCGACGTGTTCTTCTCTCCCCCGCTTCTCAACGTACACGCCAAGCAGACCGTGGGCAGTGACTTCCCGACTGTCGGCCCTCGCACCGGCTGCTGATGCTAGCTCATTGCTTGCACGCCTACCGTCTGTCTGTCTGTCTGTCTGTCTCTCTTCCTACTTTTCTTCTTCTTCTTCCGGTGTGCTGCCAGGGAATCGACGGATATCCGGCGCATCTCGTCTCACAGTCTTCTTCTCAGAGGTGACTGCAATAAACTCTTCCAACATCCGCAGCAGCACGAATCGTCTTCTTCGCAACTTCATCAGCAGAGTGCATATATACAGTATATATAAAGACTGTGAATTTGTGCTGACGGCTGCTGCTGGTACTTGTGTGACAGCGGCGAGAGATACATGTGAGGAAGAAGAAGAAGAAGCAGAAAACGATGATTGACAGCGAAATTTTGCGCGGGATATTTCCTCAATAATAAGTGCTTCCGAAAACAGCCTCATTGTGATACTGTTCCAAACAATCTAGAGATCTGAAAACTGCAACTACTGCTGTTAGACGTGATGTGCAACTCGTTCCGCGGAGTGACTCGGGAAACGTTTCAAGTGTGTGCCTTATTTGTGTGATTGGCATCCCAAAAAAACTAGTTTATGCGGGATTTCTTTTAATGTTTCTGTACAAGTTTTCTTCATTATAGAGGTGCCCTTGATGAACATTCTGCATAACCTCTAAAAGAATCCCTCGGCTTGAATCGGGCCAGAACTTCCGTTATAAAAAGATAATAATTAGCTGACGTAGTCCCGACGAAATAATTTTGCAGGAAGTAAAATGTTGAAGAAACATAATTCATACTTTTTAAATCTTTTACTATTTTCACCCCGGATTTTCTGTCACTTATTTTTATTTTCAAAACGAAATCGCTGCGTCAGCTCAGTTTATTGGTTACCAGTAGAAAGGAATTAATTCCTGGGTGTAAACTGAATTTGATATTTGAGAGAGTAAAGGGCATTTTTCATTGGTGCTGGAAATGTGGCAATTTCAATGATAAATCAAAAGTGATGTACTTGAAAAAATATAGATCGAAACACGATTCAGCTCGCAATAAAAATGCAATGTTCAATTACAGTGATATTCTCTGTATGACACATGGCTTTTCTATAGTTTCTTTCCTTATAATAAATCTTGGAAAACTTCCAAACCAGGTTCTACTCGATAATCTAAAAGCCGAAGCATTTATAATTATTTCTAACATCTAAACTGTGTTTCTTCTTTCCAGGTGTGAATAACAAAAATAATCAAGTGACTGCATAACTATATTTGAAAATAAAAACGCAAGCTTTAAAGGGTGCGTGAGTTTAAATGACACCCGCAGTGTTACCAAAGTGACTCAGTATTCTGCAACATCACCACAGCAGTCTTGCTTCAAGAAACTGTTGCGCCTATATCAAGAGAAAGTCTGACTGAAGAGAGAATATTTCACGCAATGTCAAGGTAAGTTATTGTATTGCTTATTGAAATACACGAGTATACCCCACCTTCTCTACGAGTTAAAAAAAAAAAAAAGAAGTCCGCCAGTGTTTCAAATTTTGGAAAGCTTCCTCCAGTGACAAATCTGTAAAAGTCCCTGGCTCATTTGTGTGCAGTATAATGGCTGGAGGTTTCCAGAGGAAAGTTAAATGAGGCGGTTTTTTTTTTGTGGCCCATCAAGTACAAAGCCGGCTTTCAGGGATATACTATAGACGATGAGCTCTTTATTGCATGACTTCGTGTGTGTATTTTCTTGAAAACAATTCCAGGTCACATAAACTTCGTTTTCCGAAAAGGCGAGCCCGCCCAAGAAAAACAGGCCCGCAAAAAATGGGTCCACATGCCATCTTCTTTTCTGTATAGTACTGTAGTATGCTGACGGGGTATTTGCTGAATGTGTTTCGCAATCAATCTTCTTTTGCCACCACGATAAAAAAAAAAAATAGTCGTCATCCTGACTTAAATTATGCATAATTTTGTTGGTGCGTGACTGACGAATAATTCCATCGATAAAATGAAAAACCAAACCCCGTTTTTTAACGAAAAAAAAGAAACTCTGAAATGAACAGTGTCACATCATCCTCGATTCGTCGCATTATTCGCCCTTCTTCTGAGTGTACAGCTTTGTTGTTCGAAAATAAGCTGACTGTCACCACTGTGTCACCTCCACGCTATTGGGAAGTGACACCGTTGCCAAGAGTTCATCTCGGAAAATTTTTAAAACCTGGCGATTCGGTCCAGTAGCCGCTCTGAAAACCAGGTTCGCGGATTCCAGATTGCTGGTGTAGCACAAACTGGGGACTCTGAAAAAGAAAGGCTAAATATGAACAGGATTTGAACAGATATAAAGTATATTGGGTGTCTTCAGCAAGGATGAAAGCAAGTACTGTATGTAATCATACATACTCAATTATCAAGAGCATCTTTTATTTCAGATCAAGAAGATAAAGGAGAGGATGGAAATCATAGATTATCTTGATGGCGTTTCAAATAAACTTTCTAGTGTTGGTGCACATCACACTTGAATCCAGCCAGAAGCGCAGGGAATTCTCTCCAATTTCTACAGACACTTTAAACAAAATAGAATTGACTGAAAATCAACATGAAACTTGACACGAATTCATGTCGAATTTTTAATTCTGGTGCAAAATATTTTCCTTCTCTAAAGTGGGGTGTGTGCGTCTTACCTTGAGATACATTTTTTTCCGAACTTCAAGCTGAAAATGTTTAATGCGTTTCTTACTCAAGGGCAAGTGGTATTTGAGTAGATTCGGTATATTTGCTATATACAGTATACTTTTTGCTCAAAATGAAGGTAACAGAAATAATAGCTATCTTTGTTATTCAGGATTCCCTTTTTGAAATTGGCTGCTGTCAACAAAAACACTAGCAAAAATGATGCAATGGCTCTCTTTGGATATATGCAAAATGGACATGGAGTCTTGTATATATAGGAAATGTCTTCTGTTTGATAGCCTGATCCTAATGATGTTTCAGAAGCTTTTAATTTTTTGCCTATTTTCAAATTCTTATATATATGCAGTATATGTTGAATATCCACTCAACAAGAAAAAGAAAAAAGAGCCGCAACCTTCCTTCGCCGCATAGGACAGTACAGTAAATTATTCAGATTTTAATGGGTAAGCTGACCTGATCAAACTGGAGCTGTTCTACCCCGGGAATGAGTTGCAGGACGTGTGACACCGGCGCTCATATCAGCGGCCCGCGGCGTGACCGAGGCTAATCTCTTGAGCCGGGTCGCATTCCTCCCCGTCTGCGGGGTTCCACTTGCCAAAATTTCGACAAGCGCCTGACCCAACACCGCACTCCCTTCCCAGGAACACCCGTGTCTTTCGTTGCCGGCTTGTATTTTATTCTTGCGTGTGACGATCTGCATATTTATTTACTTTCTCAATCATTGGATCGTTTCTAGAGAATATACAGAGCAGTTCGCTTTCTGCGGATGCAGAGTGAAGTCAAATGTCGAGTGCCAATCATATGTAAAAGAGCTCCACATAAGCGATCAGTGTCCCAAGTTTTACCACTGCAAAATTCCAATCAAGAACTAACATTTCAAACTTGTGATCGAATTTAAATGTTTATAATGCTTGCTATGACTGAATTCCGGTATAAAGGTGTTGATCCCTTTTTTGAATTGTGGGAAAAACATCCTAATACGGTATTTGGCAAAGATTTATATCGCAGCTTCCTAACCGCAAACAACAAAATATTTATGATTGCGAAGTGAGGGACATTTTGCAGATTATACAAAGCACTCAATGTATATCGCACCCGTATATATACTGTACTCAAACCCGTGCTTGCTGAGCATTCTCAATTTTGGCGGTCTCGGTTTTTCAGGTTAGATTTCGCACAGTCCTAAAAAAACGACTATAGATTTGGAAAAACACCGCGTCTTTGGAGGAATTTTTGTGTGTTTCTCATCCCAGCTAGTGAACAGAAAGCAAAACATCCGTGTCGTAAAGACGTATACTCGTCGAGGATCGCTGATGAGATTTATTTTTATGCGAACCATTTGTCCCAGGTTATTTTCATTAACCCACAAAAACGTATCGGTCCTGATCATCTCGAATGGATATGTTTAGTGTAGTACAGTACTCTAGGCCTCAACATTGAGTTTTGAAAAATGTATTTGCTAGATGTCGCTTTTATGCTGTCGCTGAATCTTGGTTTTCACAGGTGCGACAAGATGGGAACGAGCCGGTGACTCCACTTACCGCCACTCCCTCCCGTTTCTCGACGCCGAGAGGGAGGGAGTGGGGTAATGCAGACCTACTTTCAAAGAATTTCTTCGAAAATCTTCCCTTTCAAACCCTGAAAGAGATCATCCCAACTGCGGTGAGTCCCGAGAAAATCTGGTACATTCGAAATAAAGTAAAGTACTGGTTAGCTGTTTTCAATCAAGTACACGTGACACCTATAAGGCAATGAAAACTTTGAGACATTGTCTTTGTGAATGCCACACAGATGTCACTGTAGTACTGCTACCTTCTTCCGCGCTTCTCTCCGAGCCTCACGGGACGGGCCATGGGCAAAAAAAAAAAAAAAAAAAAAGCTTGGTCCATTTTTAAAATGTTTCGGCTCGAATTCTTTTTCATACCGGAGAACTATTCTAAGAACAAAAAACCTTCATGAAGAAAATCAAATGGCTCACTCCTTTTTCCGGTTCAAGGCAACCAGTGACAGAATTCTTTCCGACTCATACATGAAAGCGACATTTTTAAGGAAAGGGTTGAAAACAAAGTTATATGTACTCAGCATTGGCATAAGTTGGATTTCCTTAGAGTTTTAATTTTTCCTTCGAAATTCTGGGGCCAGAAAAATAAACGTTAAATTCTGAATTTTGTTTTATAATCGAATGATCCATCTCAAATACTTCGTCCATGCATTAATCTATCAACTGTTGAAGAAATATTTCCTCGAAGATAATATTTACAGCGAGAAAATATTCCAGCTCAAAAACACAGTTCACTTATTTCAAATAAAAAAGCAGAGCAGGAAATCGGAAGCTATGTTAAACAATTCTAGAAAGTATGACTCACTATGGGTGAGGAATCGGAAACTGCGCACTGCTGGATTTTACGAGCAAGAGAATGTTTAGTCAGAACTGCGAAATTATTCATTATTCTTATCGAATGAAGATATATTGATCGCGGAATTTAGGGATGCTGGGATTCGAAGCCCGATGAATTTCTTAGACTGCTCGCGGAGAAAAAGCTAAAAGACACCACCAAGTGTAAATCGAAATAAATGCACTATTTTCTTAGAATATAAAAAGTAGCAATTTGCAAGTACAGTACAGGATTTATCAACGAAGTAATTCATTTTCGCCGAATAATTTTATCGCTACAAAAGTTTTAAAAACGGAAATAAGTGCAATGCCTCGACGAACAGTGTTTTTCTCTCCTCTTCTTCACAATCAGAGATGAACCAAGCCTCAATTAAGGTTCGCAAAATTGATCCGATCAGAGTGTGTGTGATTCATCAGATTTTGATTCAACCTCTCTGCCTGGCACTTTTAAAAATCGAGCATTTAAACGGGAAAAGAAACACATAAATTATCAGGTGTTCGTGTGTGTGTGTGTGTGTATATATATGCGGATGAGAAAAAAGAAAAGGAGCAGAAGGTCGAAGGAAAAGTAGCAGAAAATAAAAGTGTTTTTGGAACGGGTCCAGAAAACCCGTCGCTCGAATTTTTCTCTTTCTCAGTTTCGGTTTGAAACCGAAAGCTGTGGAATTCCCACAGTTTCTTGTAGAACCGGCCCACTTCAATTCTGATCTCGCGATGTCTCGGATGGGAGTGGAATCACCCGTTTTTCTTGAATTAAAAAAAAAATATTCAGACAGTATATACGAGGGTTGATCCTTACCTTATTTTTGCACTTTCCCTCGTATGTATCAAAGTATGCATCCTCGCAATTTCGGATGAATGGCGATGTAGCTAATTCTATTTAGAGCATTATTATTCAACTTTTTCCTGAGCGATGCCGAGTCCAATTCCACTTCTGTCAATTTGAAAATATTTTGTAGACAGGACTCGAAGGAAGTGCACTCATTCACGCAAGCCAACAAAGTTACTGCTGGGTATATTTGCTTGCTCTTTTTTTTTCTTTACGGGAAGCATAAGAATTTTACCATATAGATATTTAAAATTTGAAAGAAAGTGCTTGCATCCTGTTAATTTTTTATTGGTGATACTGAAGTCTTCGTTAAATGCCAATTTGCGATTCAGGATTGAAATTAACGGTTATTTTGACGGAAACAACATTAGTCTACCTATTCAAGCCTCCTCACTTTATATGCACTCAATTTGCTTTTAATGAGGAGTCTGAATTAAAAAAAAAGAAAGCATATCCACTTGTGTATTGGCAACCACGTATTTCTTTTAAATCAAGTGACGATCGACATCAGCAGCGCAAGTGATTATTGCTTTTTTTGATTACAAAAATTTAGGAGTTGACTTTTTCATCATAATAACGTATATGACGTGCATATACAGAAACGGACAAGTAAATATCGGTTGTAAATAATAATTTCTCGAAAACCGCAGCATAATGCATATACTGTAAATGAGTGGGGATTAAACAATAAATAATGCGACGCAGAAACCCGAAAAGCCTAATGAGTGATTTTAACAACGGGGTTTCCAGGTCAAAGGTGTGAAAATGTGTAACTGGGACAAGTACCCAGCTTAGATCTCGTGTGTCGGGGTTCGGGTCGTTCCCTGGCGCACATCCGACCCAGCAGTCGACCCACGGGGCTCGCAAACTCTTCTCCCATTCTATTATGTTTTAAAAATCTTGGATTTAAAAAAGAAGAAAAAAAGAGAAATTGCTCATTTATACCATAAACCTATTGTAATTTTTCGCTCATCCGCTGTTTTCTATCTCTTGATGTGCCGAAATTTTATAGTGACGAACGCGTTCTACTACTTGGGAGCATAAGCGGATCGATTCTCTTTTTTCCCCCGTGGACGATTGATTGATTGATTGTGCGACGATCAATCATGGAGCAATTTGACCAGTTGCTCACTTGCGCCATTTGCTTGGATCGCTACCGAAATCCCAAACTTTTGCCCTGTCAGCATTCCTTTTGTGCGGATCCGTGTCTCGACGGACTCGTGGATTACGTCAGACGACAGGTAAGTCCTTTGTCCTACGTATATATTGCCATAATCATCAGCACGTGCAATATACGTGATGAAAAGGCAACACTAATAGTACGCAGCTTTTTTTTGGTGTGCGCTTCAAATACTATTTTTACTGCTTAACACACATATTCAAGGTTATTTAATAAATTAAACGTTCATCACATGTGGGTGATAGAAATTCATGTCGGAAAGTTTTGATGCTGTGGGAAAATGATTCAACAGATGAAGTCCAACAATAATAAAGTAAAAGTTCCGCCCGGACGAGCTCATTAAGCTTTTCTCCTTTGTTCTTCTGCCAATTCAGCAAAAACCTAAAGAACAAACAATAAAGGGCATTTATGAAAGTATATAGCATCTGAATGACGATAAAAACTGGGTCGTAATTCTCATTGCCGATGAAATCTACTTATATCATTGACCTGAAGCGAGTATTAATTTTGAGGGCCATTAAGAATAAAGAATCGTTCACACAGCAGCTATAAGAACTCTTGCTGATGCAGGCTCTTCAATTTCTTCCCTCTATATTGTAGCTGAGAGTACTTATTTGGTCTCAAAAGTACATACTGTATACTGCGAATCTGCGTGGCTGCAAATGCTTTTGCTTTTGAAAATTTGAGCTTGAACGACGGCTCAATTATTATTATTATTATTATTTTTGTTTGTCCTTATAATAAACCCTGTTTCACAGATTAAGTGCCCGGAATGCAGAGCCGAGCACCACATCCCTTACCAGGGAGTCCAGCACTTCCCCACCAATGTAACCCTCCAGCGATTTTTGGAGCTCCATGGAGACATCACTGGGGAACTGCCAGACCCGACAGCAAACATGCCTTTGGAAAGGTGAGAGGCCTCTTATTGCAATGTTTCTCTCTTTATTCCCCTATGATGGGAGGAAAGCATGCACACACAAAAAAGTGGATATACTGGTGTGCTATCATAGTACTCATATATAACCAGCATTCATGGTATTAACAATGATAAAGGGGGTGTAGGGCATTCACAGAAACCCACAAAACATGGGTCATCAGCCAGTTTGCAGCCAGCAGCAAGAACATGTATTCAGGGGAACACCAGCTGGAATGTACTAACTGTATGTTCCTAGTTTTCCAGAACAATGTATCGTGTAATTTGATGGCAAAGAAATGATACAATTCACACGGAAGTCTGAAAACGTTCTTCAGTCCACAAGTGAATAAGAGGTATTTGTGCCCATTAAATCCAAATCTGAGTGCAAACCAAAGATATTTACAGATAAAGAAGGAATAAAAAGAGCAGAGTAATAATTATTCACATTGAAGTTTGTGAGAAAATACTCTACATACTTTTCGAAATTAAAAATACAAATTTAGAAGGGGAAAACCCTTCATCACTGCGCTGTAGGGTTGTCGCAGTGTTGCATTCTCACCACAACAAAAAGAGGAGCGTCATTAGCCTTTTCCAAGTTCCACCATCATTATGAATAAAGGATCCCGTTTATAGCTACTGTATACAACATGTGTCACATCGTGTCTGCAATTTCAAAAAAAAAAATGGCATGACGTTTTGTTTTGTCGTTGACAGATGTGGTGTGTGTTCAGAGAAGTCGTACTGCTCCCTGTGCAACCACTGTGATAAGAAAGTGTGCAATGAGTGCAAAGAAGCCCACTTGGACGTGCTCAAAAGAGAAATCCAGAGGATCAACAACCAGGTTTGTACACATCCTTCTTAGTTTCATCATCATCATCATCTTTTTATTGTCGCCATATTATTTCGAAAGAAAATGCCGGATTTGAGGGAAAAGTGAGAGTATTGTAAAGACTTACCCTTCTTTCTCGAAATTACTTCATCACAAGAAGAGCAGTAGGAAATTCATCGTTATTTTAAAGAAAAAGTAATATATACGTATACGGTATATCCGCAATACGTTTTCAGTCTGAGGATTTCGCTTGAATATCAGAGAGAAATACAGTACAATGCTGCGTATAGAAGCTTCGAATAACCTTGTGCAAAAATCTGGACATGGTTGATTTTCTGATCATTCATATACCATACTGTACTGTATGTATGTTGTCTCAATTCAGGCATGATTCAGACACACTATTGTTGTGCATAATTGCTTATTATAGTGCAGTACAGTACTGTATTACCAAAGTTTGGAATGCATTTTCTGCAGATCAAGAGAGGGGTGAGCAGGCTGCAGGATGCCATGACCAGCATCGAAAAGCAAGCAGGAAGTTTGCAATCCAACTGCACCAACATCATAGAGGAAATTGATGACATTTCCAAAAGGCTGCAAAGGGCCATTCAAGACAAGACTGACACTCTGAGGAGAGAGGTGAAATATTGTAGATGAAGCATTTTTACTCGCAGAAAAGAAAAAAATGGCACNCAAAAAAAAAAAAAAAGGCCCCCCCCCCCCCCCCCCCCCTCGTGCTTTTTGGCTGCACTCTCGAAAACACGATGCTGCATTCCCTTCGTTCAAGCCCTCATGCTGTCGTGAACATAATCATCACTACAGTATGTAGATCCTGACCAATTGCCGCACAGTAGTATCAAATATCTTAGTACCATCAGCAGCCCCTTTCGACCAAAATACACTCAAGAATTAAAAAGAAAAAAGAATCCTCAGCTTCGTCTGCTGAACTTCTATTGATTAGGCCGAAAACAAGAAGGAGGCTAAAAACTGTTGAAGCTGATTTTTAAAATAGACGAACTGGGTCGCCATGCAAGGGGGCGACACCTGTGTCACATGACCTTGCGATGAAAAACGGGATCCGTGGCCCCTTGATCGTCGGAATCGCAACGCAGAACCGCCCGTCCTATATAGCTGAAAATCCTGCAAAAAGGTTTCTGTTTTTTTTCCTTCCTTCGGAAAAAAAGGAAAAATAAAGACAGCTGTTCCTCTCTTTTCGCTGATCGTCAGCAGTCGCGTACTCCGAGTATCACGTCGTGCTAATTTCAAACGCCGCGTCCGGTTCTGCCTTGGCCTAGATCCTGGCGGCGTGCCAAAACTGTCTTCCGGAAGTCGATGCCTCTGAATAAATACTGGTTCCAGCTCCACACTCTCAGAAATGCGAGTACACCACTTGAACGGAAAGCAGCACACGCACATGATCTATTCCTAGGAAAAAAATAAAATAAAATAAAAAATAAAAGCAACGGATTTATGTTTCGGATGGGAAAAGCAGCCAAATTGTTGATGAATTTCATTTGGTATCTTCTGCAGCGGAAGCTTCAAACGATCATTTGAAAAATACTTTCAATTAACAAATATCATTCCAATACGTGATATTCTATTGCTTTTTTATATTCAATGAAAGAACAACCATATGACGAACGGCTGAAAAAAAGCTATCCCCAGATAAAATGTACAAAATACTCTTTTCTGCACTTTCTTTTCTTCAATTGCATGCAGTATTTAAATTCTAAACAATCTTTTGAGTTTAAAAGACACAAATTAAATTACACTAGTCCGAATTATGGGACACGCTCTTCAAATTAATGATGATATCAGCAAGAAAAATGTTTTATAAATTCAAGCTGAGAAAAGTCTGAGAATAATTATAGTAGATTAAAAAATTAATCTAAAAAACCATGTTTTTCAAGTAAGACTAAAAAGCACAAAAAAATTTAGTAGATTAAAAAATTAATCTAAAAAACCAAGTTTTCAAAAAGCAAAAAATAACCTTAAACGTGGTGCGCATCTATTTCATTTGTATTTCACTTCTTCCCAAAAATCTCCATGCGCACCACGTTTAAGGTTATTTTTTTGCTTTTTGAAAATGTGGTTTTTTAGATTAATTTTTTAATCTACTATAATTATTTTATTCTTTTTAAAAAATATTCTTA